GCTGCTAGAGGTAGTCGAGCTCGATGTGGATGTTGAGGATGTGCTTGAAGAGGATGTTGACGTAGACGATGTCGATGTGGTACTGGTGCTGGCGGAGGATGTGCTCGTGCTGGAAGTGCTTGTGCTACTCGTAGATGTAGATGATGTGGTAGTTGTTGAGAAGGTTGTGGACGAGGTATATGTTGCAGTTGTGCTTGACGACATGGTGTGTGTGGAAGTGCTTGAGCTGCTCGTGGACGTTGTAGATAAGGATGTGGTTGTGATTGTTGTAGTGGTGACGGTTGTGAGCCTGTTGTATGGGATGCTCGCAGTTTGTGAGTTGCCCCAGGCGACGATGCCGCCGTCTTGCTTTAGGGCAACGAAAGCTCCACCTCCCTCAGTGGCCGTTGGGTTCGAGTAGATCTCCACGACATCCGACTGGACCTCGCTGCTCGTGCTGCTTCGGGGACTTGAAAAATCTGTGCCGTACTGGGAACCACTCCAACCCCAGGTAACCACACTCCCGTCCGTCTTCAGTCCGGCGAACGAGTAGAACGAGCCATAGATCTTCTGGATGTTCGTGAGCCCACTGGAGCCTGAAAGTCTTCTGCTCGATCCAAACCAGTCTGCATAGCCCCAGGTCACCACGGTGCCGTCGACCCTGAGCGCAGCGCATGCGTAGGCTGGGCAGACGAGGTCAACGACGTTCGTGAGTTGTGCCGCAACACTGCTAGAATCAGCGAAGCTCCTGGCATCATCTGCCCGGCCGGCGGTGATCACGGTCCCATCATTCTTCAAGACCCCGACGGCCAACCCTGCCATCTCCACTTTCTTCACATCTGAAATTACTTGGGAAGGCAAGGCTATGTGGGTTCCGTCCGTGTTGTGGCCCCAAATCACGGCCGTGCCACCGGCTTTCCAAGCAACGAAGCCCCGATGGAAGCCGTCGGGCTTCGGAGCTTCAATGGACAAAACGCCCGAAGCAAGTTCGGAGGCAACGGAACTTGAATCACCGCCGGCACCGTTGCCCCAAGTTACAACGGAGCCGTCTGCTTTCAGTGCGGCAAATGCCCACTCTCCGCCCACGATCACCGAGACGTTCGACAAATCAACAGCTCCGGGTTCATGGGCACCGGCTCTGCCCCATGTCAAGATGGTGCCATCGTTCTTGACAGCAGCAAAGCCAGCACTGTTGGACACAACATCCACGATGTTGGCGGAGAGGTCCACTGAGGAGGTGTCGCTTTCTAGCGAATAACCCCAAGAGTACACACTCCCGTCCGCCTTCAGAGCGGCAAAGGCCCAGTCGCTTCCAGCCACCTTCGTCACGCAACAGCCCAGACCGGCTTCCAGATCACTCTGGCTGAAATAGTACTGACCAGTGGTGGCAACGGTGCCATCTCCTTTACTGCGGCAAAGGACTTGCGCCCCATCACGATGCTCTGGACTTCTGACTCAATGTAACCATCGATGTTCCCGTACCAGGTTCCCCAAGCTGCATCGTACCCGGAAGTGTACAGAGCAACTGCAATACCATCCCCGACATACATGTTCACATCGCCGCAACGTGACCCTTGGAAGCATTCCACCGGCGTGTTTGTCGTCGTGGCTGTCGAAGATGTAGAAGTTGTCCGAGTCTGGGTTGACGACGTGGAAGTCGTGCCCGTTGAAGTAGTCGAGCTGGTAGTCGTCGACCACAGCAAGAGATCGCTAGGAGCAGAGAGTGGCCAAGACACAACAGTGCCATCTGACCTGAACGCCATTGGTCAGCGAGGATGCAGCAGAGCCGAGATCTCCGCCCCGGGTGGAGTCGCCCCATGCAAAGACGCTTCCATCGGATTTGACCGCGGCGAAGGCCCAGCCGCTCTTGTAGACTGTGCCTGAACGTCTGTCAAGCCGGACACGTCTGCACTGTCCCCACCGTGGCTCGCCAGGCCTAGGACCTCAACCGTGCCGTCGTTCTTCAAAATGGCAGCCGCTCTCATGTTCACCGTCACACTCTTCACGTTCATGTAGACACCGTAGGAGGAGTCATCCCAAACAACGGCGCTGCCATCCGACTTCATGACAGCGATGTGGTCGCCGTCTCGCGGATGGCCGTTGACGATGGAAAGAACACCGCTCGTCAAGTAGGGCGCCGCTCCGCTTGGCACAGCGCCGCCCTTCCCGGAGTTCCCGAAAGTGACGATGCTTCCATCGTCTTTCAGCGCCGCCACGGCGTGGCTGTTGCCCCCCACATTCACCACTCCGGAGGCCAACGATGCGGATACATCGCTTGGCTGGAGGAGAGAGCCACCCTGGGTGTAGGATCCCCAGACGACGAGGCTGCCATCGGCCTTCAACGCCTGGATGCCGTGGGCAATCGCAAAAATGTCGACCACGTCGCTGGACACCTCGCTTGCCACTGAAACTTCGTTGCTGGCACCCGTCGTCATTGCACCTCCCCAGCGGGAATCGCCCCAGGACAAAGCACTGCCGTCATCCTTGAGCACACCGAAAGCATAGAGGCCGCCCACGAGCTTGATGACGCCACTTTGCAGCTGTGAAGCCACGGAGCTGGAGTCGCCACCGTAGGTGTCCGAGGTCGGCCAAGTCACCACCGAGCCATCATTCTTCAGAGCTGCGAAAGCCGACTTGGTAGCTGCTATGTGGTAGACTTCTGACGTCAAGCTTGCTTCCACGCCAGTCGTGTCGCTGCCCCACGCCGTGACACTGCCGAAAGCCGTCAGCGCTGCAAAGCCGCCGCCGTTCGCCACAATCTGGGGCACCGCCTCCATACGGGTGCGAGTCCTTGTAGCAGTAGTCGTGGAACTCGTCGTAGTGGAAAACCACTGCAGGTCAGCAGGCTGGTGATTAGAGAAGACACCCCAGGTGACCACCTTGCCGCCATCGGTGATCCCTGCGAAAGCAGACCCGTCCCACCTGTGCACCGAGCCGTCGAAGATCTGCGTGAACTTGTCGGTCGGATCAGTACCCCACCTTCCTCTCTGCCAGCTGACAACGCTGCCATCTTCCTTCAGAGCCGTTGCAGTATTCCAGGCTGAGCGGATGTCTTTGATGCAGCATGACAAGTCGACGCCGTTGCTGTCCGCATATTCACCCCAGGTCGTAGCGCTTCCATCGGCATAGACAGCTGCGAAGCCCAGCAAACCGCTTCTGTAGAGCTTCTCCACATTTGAGAGACCTGCAGCGACACCTGTATCTCCTCCGTGCGTGGAATCGCCCATCACTTGCACGGTGCCGTCGTTGAAGAGAATGCCTGTGGCCCTGCCGTTGGGCACAATGTCTTTGACGTTGGAGTACACTCCCGACTCGGAGCTACCCCACACGAGGCCAGTGCCATCAGACTTGATCGCGGCCATATGACGACACTCTTTCTGAGGCCCACCGATAACTCGGTCCACATTGGCAGTCAAGTGCGACGAAACTGCGGAGGAATCGCCCCCTTCGCCGCCAGCGACAATGTCACACCTGTGCGTGTGATGGTCTGGCTCGTGGTGGTGGCAGAGGTGGTCGTCTGGGTCGAAAACGTGGCGGTGGAGGAGGTGATGGTCCCGACATTCAAGGAGGACGGCAAGCCAGCAGTTGAGCTGCTATGCCCCCAGGTCGCAACGGAGCCATCCCACTTCACGGCTGCAAAAGCTCCGTCGTTCTCATACTCGATGCCGTGGACGAGCCTCACGCCGGAAGAAACATCCGCACCACTGGTGTCTCCACCATGCGCAGATTCCCCCCAAGCAACGATGCCACCATCACTCTTCAATGCTGCGAAAGCCGTTCTTGTGTTGAAAATCTCCTGCACGCAGCATGCCAAGTCGGCTGCTACCGCATCAGAGTTTCCGCCTCTTCCGGAGTCGCCCCAAGTTACCACGCTTCCATCGGTCTTCACAGCGGCGAATGCATAACCAGTGCTGTAGATGGCACCGATATTGGTGAGTTGGGAGGAAACAGAGCTCTCGTCTCCCCCATGGCTGGAGGAGCCGACCGCCTCCGCCGCACCATCGGCAAACAAGATTGCAGCCGCATGCGTTGAGACGGTTACTGCCTTCACGCCGCTGAAGACGTGCGAGCCTGTTTGACCGCCCCACACCAAAGCTTTTCCATCCGACTTCATGGCGGCCAACACTCGCCCGTCTCGAACATGGCCGCTAATGATTGATACGACGCCGCTTGTCAACTCCGAGGTCACTGGCTCGGAATGTGAACCACCGTAAGGTGCCTCACCCCATGTGAAGGCACTGCCATCAGTCTTGATTGCAGCAAACACGTGGCTGTTCGAGCCCACAGTCGCGACCCCAGAGCTTGCTTGCGATGTCACATCCGCTGGAACTGTCAGCGAGCCGCCTTGATTGCCTGCTCCCCAAGTGACTAGTTTTCCATCAGATTTCAAGGCTGCGAATGCGTGCCCTGAGGAGAAGATGTCGACAACGTCGGAGGTCAGCTGGCTTGAGGCAGATCCATAATTCCCACCAAAGGATCCATGGCCCCACGAAAAAGCGCTTCCATCAACCTTCATAACTGCGAAAGCATAGAGACCGGAGACGATTTTAGTCACACCACTGGTGAGCTGCGCCGACACGGCACTCGAGTCTCCGCCTTCGCTCGAGCTTCCCCAAGCAATTACGCTACCATCTGTCTTCAAAGCCGCAAAAGCCCCGCGCCCAGCCACCAGTGTTTGGACACCGGAGGCTAAGCTCGCAGCTACACCGGCTGCTGTAGTATCGCCACCCATGGAGGCATCACCCCAGGTCGTGACACTTCCATCCGTCGCCAAGATGGCGAAAGCATGGTCAGTGCCAGCAATGATTTGACCTGCACTTGCAATGAAACCTCGCAGTGTGGCTAGAAAGTCCAGGGTCCGGCCCTCATGGCCGCCACGGAGCTGGAAATCTATTTTTGTATCACTGTTCGAGGATGCTGTACTTTGAGCCAATATGGCTACGGAGAGGAGGTTACCAAGGCCGCTTTGCCGCCCAGCATGCGCACGGGTGCACCTCGTCCCACAAAACCAGCTTGCTGGCCTTGAAAGCCTTGAAAATCTTCTCCTTGCCACCTCCCTCAGGAGCACTCTGAGCGATGTCCGGGTATCGGAACTTCACCAAGGAGTAGTAGCCTAAGTAAGAAATAAGGTCAGAGCATGAAACGCTCACTCTTGCACGGGAGTAAAAAGCCCGGCGCCCATCATCACCAGCACGTACCTTAGCGTGCAATGCAATTCGCAGCAACACGTGGTTCTTTCTTTCCCTCCCCGACCCAGGCAAGCGGCAGCATTGCCAGCAGAGCCCCGGCAATGATCACAGGCACTGCCACCCAAATCTCGGCCATGTGTCCGGTCACCAGCCTCGGCAGACATGTGCGCACCTGGCCTGCTCATCCACACGGTCCTCGCGGCCCTCGTGCCTCCACGGAAATGTGATGAGGTCGTACATGAAGGCATAGCACATCACCTGCAGCGCGAGAAGCAAAAGGCTCGTCGCCCCAGGTCTCACTTGGATGCCACCGAAAGGCGCAGAATCCCAGCACGCCGTGGGTCCTTTTGACCGTTTTTGCAAGCTTCGGGGCACATGCTTTGAGCTTTGCAATTCGGAGTACCGTCAATTCCAGCTGCAAGCAACCCACCCATCCCCGTCAGTCGTTCCAAAGAGGAAGAGCGGGAAGACATAGACGAAGCCAAGCACACCCCAGTACACCTGAGGACTGACACTGCCAGCACTGTTGGAGTCTGTTAGAGAGCCGCGGAAACAGTGCCATGCTGCGTAGAGAAAGTGTATGGGGGTAGGGGCCAGCATAGGCTTGCCCCAGACCTCATCCAATACCCACGTAGGCTTTTACACCATTTCTCAAGCCACCGAATAAACCAATAAATCAAACCTTTCAAACCACCAAACACAAAGCACTTCCCAAATCCTACGCCGAGATCCAAAGCACCTCCCAACACAACACCACAAAAAAGAATCCCAAGCCGTAAGCCCCGCAGTTACCCCAGACCTCAGACTCGGTAACCCTCACCGGCATGGAGAAGCCTCAAAAGGCGATTCCAGAAAATGCTATATAAACCTGAACAAACTTTTCCGAAAGCCAAATACCGATACAAACTAGCCAGAAACATAAAAGAAGCTAACCGAACACCGACAGAGCCATGATGCTGGACAGCAATGCAGGATTCCTCATCAAAACTTGATCGCACAACAAATGCTGACCAGCAGTGACAGCTCAACGTTGCCCATCCTGGACCCAGGCTGGGGGGCCGGGGGAGTGAGGGGAGTTGTGCCACAAGGCCGGGCTCTTCCCAGGCCTCACTGTTTCCAGCCCGCCCCCCACCTCTGATCTCAACTGCGAGGCGATCAATCTTGATAGGAATCCCAAGTGCGAGCATGTAGTGAGTGCTGGCTGTGTTCATTGCTTCTGCTTTCCCAGAGCTGCAGGGCACGTTTGGTGTAGCTTTTTTTCTGCATTCGTTTCTTTAAAATGTATCTTAGTTGTTGCTCTGGTTTTGCAAATCGACTTGCCAAGTCGTGTCCATCGACTGGTGGTTGTTACACTACGGAATGCTGGGTGTGCTTGCAATCTTGGCAGTGCCGACAACCGATGACTGCAACACGCTGATAGCCATCGACATTCCGGGTGGAAATTGTCTTTGAATGAAACCATGAACCCCACACTTTTTACACCACCATAGTGGCAACAATCGGCATTTGGAGGCAATACAAGACAACAACGATAACAAGGCGGAGTGACACGGCAAGAGCAAGCTTATGGGCCAAGATTCTTTTTTCGATCTGATGTCAGCACTTGCCCGCCACATACAGTTTGCGGCAATCTTGGGTGTGAAAGTAGTACTTCACAACACTTAGATATTTAATGGGGGTTCTGGAGGAGCTTCAAAGAGCTTCAGAGTGTGCGGTTGCGTTCTCATTCTCCGGCTCTGGAACTCGAAGCCCGTTCTTGGGGCTGGCACGAGAGCTATGGCATCCGAGATGACGCCGAGCCTGGGCACACATGCACCCTGGAAAAGCGCGGCGGCTATGATCTGGGAACATATGCTCATCGCCAAGACATCGAGGGCAGCACACGTCGGGCTGAAGGAATAGTCGATGAGTCCAGCTCATTTTCACCTGCCGGCTTCTTTCACGGCGACAAGCCGACAGTGACAAAGGCCACATCTCACAGAAGTGTAAGCCTCTATCATCCACGTGCCAGCCACTGCTGCCACCGTGTTTGGACCTGGGAATGCTTGGATGCCCTGTCGGCGAGAGACAAGATCAGCTGAGTGCCAGAACTGAAGGCCAGCATCAATGCCAAGGCATGCATCTTCCTGAGAACAGCCGAAGCAGGAGCAGATGTTCGAGAGGGACGAGCAAGGGCGAGCGGCAAAGGAAGAAAACTCAAAGGAACGGTATCAGAGTAAGATGTAGTGATGTAGTACTGGCAAGCAGATCAAGAGCAAGAGAGAGAGTGAGACAGAGACAGACAGAGAGACGGAGAGGGAGGTAGTGGAAGCAGGGGCAGCAGCAGCAGTGTTCGCCGGCTTCCAGGCATGGCCGTCTTCATGATGTCATCGTCGACACAGCACCCGCAGCAGTAAAGGATGTATTCAAAATCGGATGCATCCCGACATTACCCGACAATACGAGCGCGCAGGCACACAGAATAGAATGCACGCAGCCATCCCCGGGCGGAATCCAACAGCGAAAACAGTAGCAGCCGTCGTCTTCTTTGTCGTCGTCGTCTCTTTAGCTGGCGTACTGCTCTTGATTGTCGTTCCCCTGCTGTAAGAACTGGTGCAACCAAATAGAGCATGTGCCAAAACTGTTGCAAACTCGACGATAACAAGAAGCATGAACAAACGGAAGTGAGAAACGATGACCAGCACCACACTGCACTTTGCAACTCTTCCCATAATCATGAAAAGGAGGGTTGTCTACTCGTACTGTCATTGCACTTTATACTCACACCCGTGTGGTGGCTCTTTCTCACATGAAACAAAAACATGTCTCAAACAAAGAATGTCTCCAGCTGCCGCGGGACTGAAAGCCCTGGAAGTGACCCAGATAGCCTATGGCCGAGAAGAAGTCCTCGTCCAGGGCACTTCATTGAAGATGGGGTGAGATTACATTCTTCTTGGGAAGACTTGCTTTTCGTCCAGGGCACTTCATTGAAGCTGAGGTGAGATTGCATTCTTCTTGGGAAGACTTGCTGTATTAGTTTGGAAAAGGCCTCGAGGATACAAGTAGTGTCATTCAAGCAGTGGGGTGTCGGCGTGCACCCTCAGTCGAAAGGCAGGGGCACACCATCAGAACCTCGTCGGCGAAACAGCTTCTTCGATACCCAACTACCAGCAACTACCAACCAACCTCAACAGTGAACCTCCGACTTCGCCCTCCTCCAGCAGCTGGCTCAAGGCCATAGCCAAGAACAGAAGCCGCAGCAGCAGCCTGAGCACCTGAGTAGGCAGAGGCACTCAAAAAAACAAATCCACGGGGCCACGGAGGGGCGGCGGGGCCCTGGCTTTCGTCCTCGGCTCATGCACCTCCTGAGAAGAAAGGTGTTTGAACTCTGCCAGAAATAGACCGAAGACAGTAAATTAAAAAAGCCTGGTTCAGAGCTGCGCTGCTCTTCAAGAGAGGCTCGTCCATGACCTCCGCCAGAAGGAGAGCAGAACTCTCTGCCCGTCCCCTCCAAGCCACCCTGGGGCCCCATCCCAAGCGGTCGTGACCAGCTTCGCGGCGGCTGCAATGACCGCCAGGGCCAAAGGAGGCCGAAACCTGGGATTATCGGTTGACGGATGGGACAACCACCACCACCACGACCACCACCCTTTCGGGAACCCGGACAATGGCAAGCTGAGATCCAGGCATGGGGTTGACATTCTGCTCGAGAACAAACATCTTACGTCTTAACTTCAACGCGGATCACTGGAAGCACCTGCTAGAGTCCTTGCTGTGGCACTGCCTTTAGAATGAACTCATGGGAGCTTGATCCCGACCTGCATGAGCGCCATCCTACGGTTTGAGCCTTGCTTGCTTCCGGGGATAGTTTGACACATTCCCTCCCCGACTGCCACTTCGGCACGTGCACATGCCCTTTACTAACTCTTTCAACAACAGTGTCCCTTTGCCCCCCTTGCCTGGGTCACCGCACTCCCAGCGTTCATCCCCCACATCTGCAGCCGGACCTGCAGAGAAACTTCGATGGAGCGCCTCTGCATGGCGTGACCACAAGGGCGCTGCTACTTGTAGGAGGTGACAACACTTGCAAGGGATACGTGGTATTGCTCACATCTTCAGGAGCTCTACGCTGGATGCTCCATGACGGCAGATGTGTGTAGCATCCTCTTGGGAAGCCTCTGTGGGCAGTTCAAAGAGTCGTGGGCCCGGCCGTCGCCGCGCTGAGGAGGGGCTTGGTGTTGCGAACCGAGGCACTTCGAAGCTCCTGCTTGGGGCTTGGGCTTAGATACTTCAGGATCTTCTACATCTCTGCTGTGGACTCTCGAAGCAAACATGTCAGATGGTCCGTGCGCTCTGATCACAGCAGAGTTTCAAGGGATCCCCAAATTTGCACAAGCAGGCCTGCAAGAAGGACTTGAAGCCGTAGCGCTGCCTCAGCGCAGGCGTTAAGAATACTTCAAGCTATTGAAAAGTTGTTAAAGATCGCTCTTTCGAGCCGGCACTGCAAGATACCAACATATCCCAACACCCGAAGGAGCCCCAAACTCCCGAACTTGCCATGCTTTGCTGCTCCAAGTGGCTCCAGATACTCTGGCAAGGATTTCGCAGCGGCGAGCTGCGCAGGTCACAGCAGCTTTGCGAAAGTTCTGGTTCAACATCTACCAACAAAACCAGCCTGTGCACAATCAGCTGGCTCAGCCAACTTTATCATCTGCAAGACGCGTGATGACACGTGCCTACTCCAACAATTCAGACCACTGCGCATTCCTAAAGAATACGGCGTGGAAAACTTGTTTAACAACGAAAAGAAAAAATCCTTAAAACTGCATTTTCAGCCTACCCCGACATCTTTGAGGGAGGACACGGCTGCAAAGCAAATGCTACTGCTACTCCCCTCGCGGTCTCACTGGCCAAGGCCTGCCAGCATCTCGGCTGCCGATTCCGCAAACTCCTCGCCACCTCGACACACGTCGGAGATGCAGTCTTCGAAGATCTGTGCATTGATGCCTTCGGCCGCACGCATCTCCCCTCCCAAGTGCTTGCTGCACAGCTTCTCCGCCGTGGCACGCTCGGCATCTTCGCAGGATGCAGCGATGAAGGCATGCTTGCTCTCGAGGCCCTCGAGGAACTCCGCAACCTCGGCACTGCCACCCAACTTTGCCCAGCCCTGATTCGTCTGGAACTTCATGTGCTGACCACCGGCGGGATTGATTTGGCCCTCCAAGAACTGGCTGTCGGCCATGTTGGGCATGCTCACTCGCAGATTGATGCCGCTTGGCTTGCAAACGGTGTTCATCACGATCGTGTCCTTCCTGCCGTGCTCCCCGTTCATGCGCAGCGTGATCTTCTTCTCGTTGACGTACTCGAAGCTTGTGACGTAGTCCTCGTCCTCCAGCAACGACACAGAGTGGCCGCTCTCGCTCAGCACCTGCCAATGGCCACGGTCCCCCGTCTTGCTGCGCCACTCGCAGTCCGTGCTGCTTAACTCCAGTGCCTGGCGGAAGCGTCCCATGGAACGATCCTCCAGCAGCAAGCCCTGCACCGTCCATAGTGGGCCGCCGTAGTGGGAGTAGAGCTTCCAGTCCACCTCTGCACGTCCCTTGTGCTTAGGCTGCGCAAGCTTCTGGCCGGAGTACTGGAATATGGTGTAGGTGCCGTTCTCATAGAGGTCGAACTTGTCGCCATCGAGGGTGTAGATGTGGGGATCACCCCAGACGCTGCCGCCCTTGCATGCAGTAAAACGCCGGATTCCCCCAGAGCCTCCCAAGTAGATCTTCATCGTGCGCACGTGCGTAGTCAAGAGCTGCAAAATCGCCGGGTTGCCGTCCTGGCCCGGACCGTCGGGGGCGGAGATGTTCTTCAGCAAACGGTTCTTGGTGCCGTAGAGCTCCACGAAGGTCGGTTCCTCCAGGTCCCAAAGCTCGAGCTCTTGCAAACTTTGGAGTTTCTTGAAGGTGATCGTGACCAGCACGCCCGGATGCTCCCCGCAGTCATTGACCTTACGCCGGTTGCCGTCCTTGGACCAAACGACGATTCGGCAATCTTTGCATCTCTGCAAGTCCTTGTCCACACTGCGGAAATCCTCCCGGGTGTCTAAAACCAGGAGGGGCCCCGGGCAAGGCTTGCCAAAACCCGGTTCCGGCTCTGTGGCACGGCGAGTGGCCGTGATCGTCATGCCCTTGATGGCATTCGGCTTTATCTCGTCACCGTGCTTGAAGCCGTTGAAGTTGTACTCCGTGATGGGCTCGCCTTTGCAGAAGCCCTTGTTCCAACTCTTGTCATGCAAGGCATGCCTCAGCTGGGCCTTCATTTGCTTCGCCTCGGCCATCGCGCGCCTGTCCATTCCGTGTGCCTCGTGCTGGGCCTGCAGCAAGCAGGAGCCATCCTCCTCAGCTAGCACGTGGGCCAACAGCCCTGCCAAGAGTGCTTTCCACATGATTCGTCCGGTTCGGTCTAGCGGAGTCTAGAGTCTAGCGCTCAGTGCTGAAGCTCGATCCAAAGAGCAGACAGTAAGCAGCCATTTGCCGATCTTGGCATGAACACTTCTTTGATTAAGGCGACGTCTGCTCTCCCGCCGTCCCATTTGTGCGACAGCAAGGCATTCAATAGATTGCCAGCTCTGGCGCTTCGCCACTGCCAGCCGAGCAAGTGCTCCCTCGTCTCTTGCCAGAACACGGAACTGTATCGCACTTCTCTTCATGAATGCTAGGAACTTACCAAGCGGAAGGGTATTGGCAAGAGTTTCAGGTGGCCTTGGCCGGCCACCGACTACATGCAGGTAGCCACTGCTTGTGAGCAAGGTCATTAGCCAGGGCAGTACGCAGAAGGGCACGCTTTCCGCAGCTCAGCAGAAGGCCCTGAAACTGATGGAACTGGAGAACTTGAAACTTCTCGAATTCGACGGGCGCTGCCAAGGCCGTCACGAGAGACCTTTTTTCCAAAAATCTCTCGGCCTGACCTATCTTACCGGGCGACATTCTGTCTGCTCGACATCTTCTGGATCAAGCTACTGCTGCCCATGCAGAAACCATCGCCGAAAATGACCTTCGGAAAGGGAAAAGCTAGACAAGAAGTTTTGATGCGGCGAGTTTCAAAGCTGAGACCGATGCCATTCCGCCCTGGGAGTACATGGCCTGAGCAGGAACTCCAGCTTCGTCACTTGGACTGAGGTTCAAGGGGTCTCTTTGGTATGTCCGTACCAAACACTCGTTGGTTCAAGACAGGAGGCATAGTATGCGCGGCAGAGATGCAAGAAGCAGGGCATGTAGGTGCAGAAGCCGTAGAAATCCTCTCGGGAGAACTCGGGCGGCCATTTCTAGGACGGGGTGTCATTCATGCAAGTCCTCGTATTTGGCGGCACACTGGACCATGTCCAACTTTGGCTCTGCATCGAAGAACTTGCAGTCAGTGAAGTAGGCCAAGCACACCCTGCAGAAAGCACAGGAAGAGAGGAGACCCAGTCTTCGGCCAGCGCGGAAATTGCTAAGAACAGGGCATGTAGAAAATCATGTTCCAGAACATCGCAATGAGCGGAAACTTGAAGACGTTCAAGCTGTTGGGTTGCACCTGCTCACCGCTGCCCAGCGGCGAAAAGATTGATCGCCAACGGTCACAGGCAGTTTTGTTGCAACAACTACCACAAAAATTTGACAACGGCCCTTCCTGCACCCTGCGACACACGCACGCATTTTGCCATCACCAACACGGCAGCGAATCGAAAAAGGACCTCTCCCCGGCCTTGTCCAAGGCAGGTACGGGTTCTCCCCTGATCGATTTTTCGACCTGCACAGGTCCGTCCATGGCATCAAGCCTCCCATGAACCATGCTGCTGGCCCCCCGCACGCCCTAGTGCTTTGCTGAAGAAACATGTGAAGAGACAGTTTCACAACCATGTCCAAATGACCTAATGTGAATTCGCCCCGTTACGAGGGTGTCACTCACTCAACTTATCTGTGCTGGCATTGCTTACATGCTTACTTCTTGCGTAATTGCTTACTTACCCACTTTCTTAGCCCTCGCATTCGGCTGGCTCACTTGCTTACTGGGTTTACTTCCTTGCTTGCTTGCTGGCTCAATCACCTACAAAGACGCTGACGTCCTTGCCTATCTGCTTGCTTACTTACTGATGTTCTTGCTCGCTTACGTCTATACCACTATTTCTTTTGTTGTTGGGAGGGCAGCACAACCGTATCAGCTTGCCGTCGTTAGCATGAGTCTCCTGTCTTCTTTTCCGCTCTCATCCTTCTTTTGGCATGTCCACGAGAAGTCCAACTTCCTCAAACAGCCAAGCTGGGCCGCTGGCTAGGCGAGCAACGGGTCCCGCACCACACCACACGAAGGCCTTCACTGCAACTGTTGGGGCAGCAGACCCTTCAGATTCCGGTTCCATGCTTGGTATACGAATTTTCAAGCTCGAGCTACTAGGATTTTGAGGGTATACAGCCATTTGCAATTATTCAGCCTGCAACGACGTAGTTGACATGATTGCATAGCTGCCCTT